ATCCCTCGTTTATTTACTTATTACAATTATCTTTTAGCTGACAATGAGCTATGGATATTAATATATCGATACTCTTTGTAGCGATTTAAAATCAATTTGCTTTAATGAAAAAAAATCTGATACTGCAAGTTAAAATATAATACGAAAAGTACATATAAATGTCAAAACAATTGATTTGAAATGAAAATCGAGATCATTTATTTCAGTCAATTTAAAACACTCTTTATTTTAATAAAAATTTGAAATTTCCGACGAACAATTTAATACTGCAAATCGAAAGCTGCGTTAAAAGTGATAACTTTTTATATTGAAATTGCACTAATTATTACGCACACACACATGAAAGAGTTGACGAAATATGACGCAGCTAAAAATCTTTGACATTTTATTTAATATATCATCAGAATAACATGGAGGGAACATAAACAGAAATATAAGTTTCCACAGAACGTTGTTATCACGTTGAAGATGATAGTCGAGGTTAAACGAAGCGTGACGGAACTCGGGCTATGCGCAAACGAACGACAATGATCTTGACCTCGCGATACACTACGAATAGCCATACTCGCGATCGAGGCCACCACTCGTATGTGCGTATGCCGCGATAAAGGGGAAAGTTATATGTCGTCGTCATTAATAAACATGAAAGCGCATGGCGTTAACAATCGTACAGGATCCCAATTGCGTTCGACGTTTTATGCGACGTGCAAACATGAATCACGCAATTTCTACGCAAGTAGCTCGATGAACTAATTTATTATTACCGTTGCTCACATATCGCACCCACAGAAAAAATTTCCGGATCCAATGCTTACCGTATAGACATAATATAGCTAGACCGAGCATTAAGCAGTGGAGGTAGAGGTTTACGTAGAAAAGGACGAACTCCGTTTTGTGCTATTTCGTTCTCTTTCCTTCGCATGTGAACAAGAGAGAACGAAATCGCACAAAACAGAGTTTGTCCTTTTCCACGTGAACCTTTGCCCCCCCCCCCACTGCTCAAATAAAGGTAAACGCTCGGTCTAGATATATTACGTCTATGGCTATTACACTTCAAAGTATTATAAAATAGGATCGATATAGCGCCAATCGTATGTATTATAGAGAAAGGAATATTTTAATCTTCAATGAAAAATTCTAAAATCTAGAATAAAATGATAGCATGTATCGTCCTTTGTCGAATATCGTGGCGTCAAGATGGAGGGAAAATTTATTCTAAACGCAAGAATATATAAACTCGCATTTATATAAGTTACTCTTGCCTCAATATAGTAAGTCAGTCTTTTAATTCGATAGGGGAGAATAAGAATTATTGATTTTATTTCGATATTGTCTTATTTTCATACTAAATAAGGTTGTGAAAAATACAAATGCGTCAAGAATATTTTTTGTCTCGGTAACAGAAATATGAAATTTCTCTTGAAAAATTTATCTGATTTTTCCATAGACCGTCTTTAAAAAATCCAGCTTTTTGGTAATAAATATTGCGATCGGATCCAATTTGTATTTTACAAATTAGCTAATTTTCTAATTTATTTCTCTCAAAGAGAGTACAATGAGATAATTAACGAGAATGAAACGTCATATTCCGCAACAGCATTTACATGTTATTTCTCTAGCTGTGTGTTGTTGCTATTTCTGCACTTACGTAAAATCATTTTGCGAGACAAAAGTTAGGGGATAATTTGAGCCGCGCGAATGAGACTGCACAAACTGCATCGACGTTTGCGAGTCATTGGAATTGCAAGCGACGGTACCACAGCTGTTTCGAAACTTTCGAGTACCGCGCGACCTTGAGTGGCGATACGAAATATTTTCAACGTCGTTTCTCGCTTGAACGAGTACTCGCGTGGGAACGTAATATAGTAAACAACCTGTCAATTTAATCGATGAGAGCCTGTCTAAAAAAACAGTATCCGATAACTGAGAAAGTAACGAACAATCACGCGTAAGAAGTTTAAATTAAACATGGCAAAATAGACGAAATCGATAACGATAAAAGGTGAGAGTGAAAATGGAGCAATATTTTCCGCGCAAGCATATTAAATTGAAAGCTACTTCGCGTTATCGCCGCGAGAGATTAGAGGCAGGTGTAATAAAAATTTTGACATAAACCTCGCGCGAGCTCGCTCAGAAGGAAATGTACGACCGAAAGGAAGCGACGATGTATAACGTCGGAGTAGGGACAAAAAGAGCGGCGTAAAAGTTGCCGGATTCTCCTTTACGAGATATCAGGTCGATAGATAATCTTACTGGCGGAGCGTCGGCCAGTAGGTGGACATTCAATTTCGTAAATGGCCGCGGCGGAATCGCGACGGTCATAAATCGTCGGGGTCTTATCGCGCGATTGCCAGTCGGCTAGCTCCTTCGTCCCGATACCCCATGGGCGAATCGAAAGGACGTCTCGTATGGTGGGCTCATCTATCGGAACCGGAACCGGAAGCGGCCGGGCGTGAATAACACAGCGCGAGCGATCGCGTTCACCGCGAGCGTTGCGGAGCGATGCGCATTAGGGACGCCCCGTTGCGTAATCCGCGGCACAGAACGACATTGGTGACAATCATCGAATTACCTGCGACCGCGGGCGATCACACGATTTCGTGCGAGAATCGCAGTCCGAACGGAGGCCTCGTCCAGTTTCGCGCTATTCGTCGTATTCGCGTTACAAACGGTGTCGCACGCGAAGGTACGTTCGATTGCGAATGGCAACGAGGTGTCGGCTTGTCGATACGCTTTAAACGATATATTGCATAGAATTGACAATGGTAACGATTCGTTGTCACTTACACGTCTTTCGGATGCAAAGTGAGTTTTATTGCTGTAATTAACAGGAGAGATTTTTCGATTGCCGGAAGCTTTGACAGATGCACTGAGAGAAAAGTCTTTGGAAATTTATTTGCATATAATGTTTATTTCAGTGAAATTAACATACGCCACGAATACATTTTCAAAAACTCTTTTCTCGGTGTGTCTTTGACGCGAAACTAAATAGAGAGAATTAAATTTTTTCGTGATAGTGAAATCGAGATGAGTGACATCGCGGTGCACCTTTTCGGTGAATCTACACTGAGAAAAAAGTCTTTGCAAATTTATTTGTGGCATATAATGTTTATTTCAGTGAAATAAACATATGCCACGCATCAATTTTCAAAGAATCTTTTCTCGGTGTGTCTTTGACGCGAAGCTAAGTAGAGAGAATTAGATTTTTTTTCGTGATAGTGAAATCGAGATGAGTGACATCGCGGTGTACCTTTCCGGTGTATCTACGACGTAGACAGTCGACTGGCGTTACACATCGGTTTTAATTTCTGTCGCGAGCCTCTCTGTCGCTCTCGATCTGCACAGAATTGACGCTAACGTGCTAATTTAATTCGTTCGGCTGATTTGATGAAGTGACTTGGCAACTCGTGTTAACGCAGCCATTGTTTTTATTCCTGCAAGGAAACTTCTGCCCCGGACGAGATAAGCCAGGTTGAAACGATGGGAAATATCGTTTTTCAAAGTCCCACCGTGTACAAGATTTAATTAACCAACGATATACAAAATTAATAAAGTTATAAGCACGTAAGTTATAATCGTGCGCTATCCGTTGTTTAATTTATTTCCCCGGAGACTCCAGAGACCTCCGGAGTGCTGTCGAAACTTTTCAGAGAACGTCACGTTCGTACGTGTGACGTTCGGAAGAAATAATACTCGTGTTATGTTTCCCTTCTGACTTACGTGTTATTGTACACGTCTAAATCGAGTATCTATTAAGAATACCGATATTGTCTTGTGTTCGTAGTCACGACTTTTGACGAGAAACCGTACCGATATTAAGCTTGTGCGCGCGATATTATAACTCGGCTTAATTTAAACGAACAATGTGTCGTTTGGAAAATTAAATCAATCGCGGTTCTTATTCTGATAAAGCTTGACCGATGCGATATCTAGGTTGGCGCATATAATTAACTCGCCCCTCTGGCACGTACGGAGATGACCCACTCGCGGAAAAAACGACCATGCCCTCTAAATACACCTGTCGCTAACGACGTTGAGTCTTTTGGCCTGAAACAGAATTTTGGAAATTTCAGATATTTGACCTATAAGGCAGAACGTCCACGTCTGCTTCGATCTTTAGACTCTTTGACCTTTATGCGGCGTTGAACAGAAATAATCTCATCATGCCGCATAACGTTTTTAAGCTCCAATAGTATTTTTAAATTAAAAGTAGATTAAACATTTAAGATTTCTTGAAATTAAGCCTCTCGACTTTTTGCATAATAATAAGCTCCTCGCGCTGTGTAACATTTTTAAACTCCGACAGTGTTTTTCAAGTTGAAGGTGATTAAAAATTTAAGATCCTGGAAATTAAGCTCCTCGGCGTTTCACACGATAAGATTCTATTTTCCATTTATTTTCAAGGGAGTTCCGCTAGAGTTTTTCTTTGACACCTGCAAAATTGCAAAGGGGATGCTGGTGCGATTCTGCTAAATTATAGATTAGGTAACTTATATAACTTCTAAACTTAATTTCAATGATACCATGCTGTTCTCCGGTTGAATTCGACCAGTGGAAACCAGTCGGTCTGTACACGAAAGCCACATAGTTTGCATATTACGCAAATGTTTTCACGAAGTGACAGTTCTAGGGGCAAAACGTGCAGAATCACTCCAGCATCCCCTCGAGGGGATCAATTGCCAAGTACTCAATAGAACGACGAAAACAAATGCGTAGATAGTTGAGTTTTGAAAACAATATTCTCAATTGCCTCGATCGTTTCTATTTACTCCAACGTGTACAACGCGTACGTAAACAGCTTCAACCTGATCGAGGCAGTTCCGCGAGACGGAGATTAGTTTACGGAAGCGGTCCGTGGCGCGAATACGATCAGGTGAATCACCGTGCGAGAGAGCCCGCGGTCTTCCAGACACCGCGTCGTGTCGGCGTTAAGCGTGTGATAGCGGCTTAAGGTGCGAAAATAGAGCCTCCGCAGCTCGTTGTCGTCGACGTCGTTGACGGCGCCCGAACGCAGCTACGCGCTTAGTCTGTAACTGGAAGCATACGCGAGCAGAGCGAATCGCGCGTCGCATTCGCCCGGGAGCTCGGTCTCACGCGCGAGGAAGTAATCCGGGGTGGAACAACGACGGAGACGGTGACGGAGCGGGAAGCGATTCGCCAGAATCCGTCACGGCAGGAGAACTGACGAAGCGTCGTTGTTCTCGCACGCAACCGGCACGAACGGCCAGCGACAGACAGGAGTTTCGAGGAGACGAGACGCGAATGAATCTGACGGACGGACCGGTTGGATTGTAAGAAGGAAGCGTTAAGTTTGTCATTTAGAGTATTTAGTTGTTCCCATAGAACTTGAAACAAATTGTGGAAGTATTCTTCGTGTACAGTATCGAGGTATTAACGAATAGTAATTAGTAGAGGAAAGTCCCCCCCCCCCCCCATTATGAGACAGTCTCCTAATATAAGATGTTAAATTAATAGGCATCGTCCGTTGATTCCACCGTGAATTTTTTGCCCTTGGAGCGAAACGTAAAAATTCATTGGTGGCTCGTGTAATCGTTGCGAAAAAGATTTGCGATTGAATTTGGGTGTTGAAAACCTGCTATCTCATATTAGAAACCTCCCATACAGCGCGCATGTCTAAAAGACATCTTTAAGACATCTTTAAGTCGTCCTTTAGACATACATACCTAAAAGACGACTTAACGACGTCTTAAAGATGTCTTTTAGACATGCGCGCTGTATGGGCTACCTCATAATAGAGGACTTTCCTCTACGTGTTATTTGGATTATTTGTCAGATTGTTCTTTGCCAATTCTTACATACGCGTGTAAGAAATAGCTTCCGCGCTCTTGATTAATAGTCACGGTTCGTAAATGTAAGGGATAAACTTTCGAAAAAAGGACCGCTCACACGCATGAAAATGCATTACGAAAAAGTATACCAAAGTAAATGGTGGATTATCCGAACTTTGTTAGTGATAAGTTTCATTCTTTTGCTTATTGCTAATTTATTACGGTGCGTAAAATTTATCTACATTGAAGCTGTACCGCAACGTGATACAAAGGCGTATATAAAGCTTGCGCGGATAACAGCGGGGAGGGGGGGCAGCATTATTATTGATATTGTGAATTGTAACTGACTTTTTATCTCAAAAGATACGGATGACGGATCGGCGTTACCGCGCGTATTTAATTGGCTCCCCATAATAAGCTTCTTGCGCAATCCTTTAAACGAGACCGGAGCAATCGAGGCCACTGCAGGCATTGATCGATGGATCGCGCTTCAATTGAAAGAGCTGCTCCGGAATCCCAAATTCGATGACCATTTCATGATGCTGCCGTCGAAAAAGCGTAAATCGTTGGAACAAACGGCGGAAATACTTGACGAATTGTGTGCAAGCCCTACATTCTGACGTAAAATTGCGCGTTGAGAATTTTAGCGATACGCAACGTACTTTTTGCGCCGGTTTAAATTTTGTTTCAATAATGTGGAAATACGAAACTCGTTTTTTTTTTAAACACCGTGAGTAATATATCTGTAATAAATCGAGAATGCAAATTTTTTTGTGAAATTTTGGAAGCTGGACATTGCATCAATCTCATTTATATTTCGTCAATTGTTTCTGTATGAATGCCCGAGTTCATCGTAATGTCTTCTAATTGACACACGTCGTCGCCGCAAGCTGCACAACGATTCTGCTAGGTTAATGTTTAATTTTATCAAACTATGTCATTCTGTTCTATAACTGTCGCAATCGTCGGACTCTCATTCAGCCTTAACAAGTCTGATAATCGATTTCGCTAACGAGACCTTAGAGTAACTTAAAGTACCCGTGTTAATCGCACCTTTCAACCATCGAGCCCTCTTAAATTGCATTCGCAGCTATCATCAGCACGCATTAATGATATCCTACAAATAATCTCCGTTTTGTGTTGCAGCTCGACTCGTCGTGCCGGTCCGACGATCGTCGCAGGATCTCCGGGACCGACCAAGATTTCACGAGCAGAGAAACATTGTCGTCGCGCGACGCGAGAGAGAAAGAGAGACAGAGAGAAATAAATTGACGACAAAATGGATGCGAGAACAAACCGCCGGTCAACGGTAGATATTTTCGAAAAGGACGTGCCGCGATCGGACGAATTGCCGATCGTGGTGATCCACAGAACGGGAATCGGCGAGCTTCTGGCGAGACAAGCGATGGCCTGGTGTCGTTGCTGGCTGCAAACGTTCCCCATAAGAATGACGTTGAACAACGTCGGATTGTTGACGGTGTTTCTAGCGATAGTATCGCCGCGGTCCCTCATTTATAGGCTCGTTTATCCGATTTTCAGATTGGTCTTCGGCACCTTGTATCCGGCGTACGCTTCCTACAAGGCAGTGCGCACGAAAAATGTCAAAGAATACGTAAGTGAGAGACATAAGCGATAAAAGAATAAATAGCTTTGCGATCGTAGCCCCGAAAAACCGAAAGTACTCGATCAGAAGTGTGTCAATTCTGAAACGTTCGATATATTCTTGTCTTTTTTAATGAATTACTCATATAAAAATTCTTTAGTTAATTAATTTTCCAGAGATGAAGAAACATCACTTGTTGACGTGGGCTTTTAACTTTCGATTAAATTACGAAGTGTGACTTAATTAAATTTAAGAATTAAGAACTGATTTTTTATGGAAATTTGATCGAAAAACTTGTGAAGTTTTCTATTTTTTTTTATTCTTACATAAATGCATACAATTGCACGTGTAAATGCAAGTCGCCACAAGTTGTTGAACAATTTACGCATAAATATTGTTCGCACAAATACGCTGGTTAGAATTTGAGTGAAGGTTAAGAATCTTTTAACTCTAATCTTTCGCTCTGCTCGCAGCTGATGAAGATCGAGCCGTATATACGTTGTTATATACGCAGCTGTCGTGAATATTTTCATCCTCGTAATCTACTTATACCAGAAAAGGAAATTCGCAATGGAATTCAATTTAATTTTATCTTTTGAATCCGTGTGTTCTTTCTTCTCACGAATAATAAATGGTGTAGGCTTTTAGATATTTTCTAGAGCAATACTTATTTTGTTTGTTATCTCACTAGTCGTTTTTCTAAGCTAAATCACGATTACATTTTCCTGCGATCTTTCGTTGCACTACTTTTGCATAATAATCTATTACTCTAGAATTTCCTTGGTTTCAGGTCAAATGGATGATGTACTGGATCGTTTTCGCGCTGTTTACATGCGCGGAAACATTCACCGACGTCTTCTTTAGTTTTTGGTGAGAAATGTATTGCTATTATAGAAATTTATTTCTCATATGTAACTTGCGTAAACGACAAGGCCTTGCACGTGATATTTCCAGATAGGGCAGGTTTAAAGTAGAAATACATTAATACATTCGTTCGTTAAAGTGTAACAACGGGAATATCTGAGGAAAAGGGATTATCGTGTAAAAACATTCACGCATTAATCAGAACTTTTTCGCTTGCACGCTCGCACACCTTGCTGGGAACAATTATCGGCGGAATTAACATTCTCATTTTGTTTATAACATTAATCAGGACACGTTAAAGTCTGTACACTCCTATGTTTCTCTCGCGTGTTATTCAAATGTTATCTCGACGTACCTGTCGAAGGGAAAATTAACGATCGAGTTAATCTCGAAAGAGCTTGAGATATCACGGCGTTGATTTGGGAGCGGCCGCGTACACGTAACACAAACGCGTCTTGGATGAATCTTGGAATCGCGGCGAGCACGAGGGCAAGCGAGGGGCCAATAAACCAGCTGCGGACCGCGCGGTCTTGAAAGCCGTATACTCTCGCCGCGAGGAATTCCGAAAGTCTAATTTCGGACGAGATAGATATTGGCTTACATGCACTTCTGAGGATTCTACCCGCGCGCCTCTCCTCACCTGTCCCGGTCGTCACGTTTCTCCGTCGTTCCTTCCCGTTCCCGCCTCTCTCCCTTTCTCATCCACGAGGAACGTCTCGTGCGCCAGATCTCCCTTCATACTCGGGTTACAACCGAGAAGGAAACGTGTTCTCGCGTATTTCTGGCCGTCGAAATGCCCGATACTCTCCCGGTGCGCACCGGTGCACCACATTTCTCCGCGCCGCTCTCACTTTCACGCCCGTGACGAATTTCTCGCGACGCGAATCGAATCGAGTAGATTGCAGCCGCGTAACGGCACAGCGATTGACCGCGATCGGCTATTTTTGTTATTACATTATGATTGCGTGAAAAACGTGACAAGTTTATTTGGAAGTGTACCCGTTTGTACAAAAGCATCCTCGTTGAACTAAGTGACGCCGATATCTTTGCCCGTTTAATGTGACGACGTGGTAGATGTTAAAGGGTCTTTATTATTATTATTTTAATACTTTCGTGCATAAATGTCATATTTATTTCACTGCGGTACCGTAACTTGTGCGCCGCGTGTAAAAGTATGTGTACAAAGCTTTACAAAGTAACTCGGAGAAACGGCGAGCGCGTTGGCGCGTCCGATATTTTACACGCCTGGAACGTCTGTTACGTAGGTTCCCGTTTTACTATGAGATTAAAATCATCCTGGTGCTGTGGCTACTGAGCCCGGCCACTAAGGGCTCCAGTATCCTTTACCGGCGCTTCGTGCATCCCGCGCTAATCCGCCGTGAAGCCGAGATCGACGAAGCCCTGGCACGCGCGACCGAGCAGGGTTACACGGCGGTGCTGCATCTCGGCACCAAGGGCGTGAACTATGCCACGACGGTCCTCATGCAGACCGCCATCAAGGTAAGGCCCTACGTGGACCAAACTTTAGAGCGAAGTGCATCGTTGTTGTACAAACCCGAGTTGAAATTTTGGCCCTATGTTGAACCTTCAATTCTCTATCCCGAGTTGAAATTTTGGTTCTATGTTGAACCTCCAATTCTATTATATAGTAGGACCTAGGGCAGTAAAAGAGCTCGATTATCCTTGAAAGTTTCAAAATAGTACCAAAATTTCGACTCGGGAAGTGCCTTTCTTTCCTTGCGCCTTTTCACCTGGGGATTCTTCGATGAAATCGATTCCGAAGGGTCCACGAGTGAAAGGTGGAACGGTAGACCAGGACACCTTGTACTCGGAAAGACCGGCTAAGGCAAAAATAACTAAAATTAAAATGTTGCCGTATAAATAGTGGGGCATCTACATTGTTTTGTGTTGCAACATTCACTAAGTTTGCTGCACAAAATGCATATAGCTGTCTCCACTGCTTATACCAATGTGGGTATGGCAACCACAGATATAGCTGTCCCAAATATTACTATTTATTGGGGTTGTGCCAACCCTTTAAACATGTGGTAACCATACCGGTCTCTCCGTGTACGTAGCATAGAGAAACGTACAGTAGGAAAGAAACCGGCAGCTTTCAAGGAAGAGTTCCATCTTGGATATCTTCTCGTCGTTGCAAATGATGTAACACAGACGCGATCAATTATTTATTCTTTTACATGAAACTATTCCGAAAGAGGCTGCCAGTATTCAGGAATGCCTGTTCTCGTTTGATCTTGTACCTTAACCAGCCTGAGCTCTCGCTTTCATTGATCACGCATAAAACTTGTATCGACCCGCCCTAGATTGCCGCTCACTAATGATTTTACGTGTTCTTTGATTTTTTCTGTTTTCGTTCTGTCCCATCCGCGTTCCCGCACGCCGTCGCCCTCTCTCACCGTCGCCATCGCCGTCTTACCGTCTAATCAAAAACTGAAACAAAATGCAAACAAAAAATCGCCAACCGCAAAAACCACGCACGGCAAACACCGAGCACCTAACCATCGCCCGATCATCGCCCTAACCGCTGCCGTTGCTTAAGAAATCTGTGTACACCGAACCGTCGTCAACCGCACGACGAAATTCTGCCACTGACCCGTAACACCAACACGAACACGCCGAATCGCTGGCCGATTGAAATGCAAAAAAAATATATATAAACAAAATCTCGGCATCACATGATAGAATCTCCCGATCGTATTCCCGACCACGACGAGTGTACTCCCCGACCGTCAATCAGACCCGGCGATTTCTAGCTTAGCCAACCCCAGAACGCGGTTAAACAGCCAGCTGGACGGGCCGGATTGTCCGGACGGCAGCGCGATCCACAACCATCCGCACGCTAGGTCCGATGACCTGATAGGCGACAAGGACGCGATCGTCTGGCTGAACCGCGACTCGCCAACGACGACGGACGACGACGAGATGATGCAGGAGCCGGACGTAGAGTGCGAGCTGTCGGAGGAGCCGCAACCGGTGGTATTCAAGATACCCGAGACGGAAGCCCCGCGGAAAACGCGAAAGTCAAGGAAGGAGCGCAGCAGCACCACCACGGTCACCAGGCGACAAAAGACTCGTGCCTGTAAGTCGACCACGAAGAGTTACGAAATGGATTACAGCGACGACGCCGAGGTCAATTAACTGGAAAAGGGGAAGGAGAGAGGGTTGGTTCGGTATAAACGGTGGGAAATATGAGGATGAACCACTGGAAGCCTGGAAAGCAGATCGACGGGTCGACAATATCGGAAAGTGTCGGGGATTTTTATCAAGGAATAATTTGCTATGGGTGATTTGTATCTGATGTATTATTACCAGTGATGAGTAAAAGACTTTTTTTAAGCGCAAAGGAAAGCGCTGCGAGGATCGATGAGACAGAACTTTTTCTATATTATACACTCACTTTGATATTTTTCTTTCGTGTAAGCCTATTGCGAGTTTCCCTTTTGCGTTTCTTTTTCTCTTTTTTTTTTAAATGCAAATGCGCGAGACGAAATTTTCTGTTTGCGAATTTACGATCAACTCTCCTTTAGATACGTGTAATCTCTTCTCTGTATTGCCTTCGTAAGTATAGAAATTACACTGTGTGTGATTGTTTAATCGTGAACAATACGTTTTTAGAAAGGTTGTTTGATACACTAGTAGGTAAGAGACTTTGTACAATGTATCTCTTGTTTTTTTCTTTTAGAAATTTAGAGAAAGGCACAAAAATTTCGAAAGGCCTTAATCGGTGCAATGACTATAGTGGAGAACTTTTAATCGTGTACACATTTTCGACTAAGATAAGACTCGATAGTCGTTTCCACTCGTATGCCTTACTTCGATTTGTATTTTTCCACGCGAACTTCGTTTCTAGAGAACATGAGAATTACGTCCTAGCTGGAAGATAAGATAGTTTTAAAGAGCAATCTCGATATTTTTACACAGTATTCCGCACATTGTTGGGTGTTGATAATAATAATAATGTCAACTGTTATAGCGCGCGATACGAGTTTAAAAACGATTATCAAAAATCGTTGGCATCGTAACACATCAAAAATAAATCTGAACATATTCATTGGAAATTTTGCATGATCAGCTGTCAACAATTATACATCTTTTTCCCATTACATATATTGTTTTTATCCCACGCGAATCTTCGGTAAGTAATGGTGCGATTAGGACAATCGACCGTCATTTACGATCTCTTAGTATTTTGATTAACTCTAAGACCACGCTTTGTGAAACTACCCTGGAACAGATATTTTTACACGTAGCTGTGATGAAAGTATATATTTTTCGACGAACTTTTCCAAGAGAAATACGAATGCGATTATGTAAATTGAAATCGGTCAAGCTACAAAGTACAAATGTTCAAACGAGGAGTATTTCCCGCAAGTGCTAGAGCGACTTGAAATTTTCGCCGGTTCTCAAAAACTCACGAAACGTGGTCCTAGAGTTAAATAAATGTCCTTCTCTTGTACTTCGTCACGTAGATAGAATTGTGAATATTTACAAAAAGACAACGAATCTCTAGTTTAGATTAACCCGATCCGGATACTCGTCGATGCAACTGAGACTTGAAACGCATCCACGAATATCACATTCAATACCGCATGTTTGATACGATCTGGGGTTCTAGAAGATGCGTTCTGACAGAACTCAGAAGAAGGAATTGTTGATACGAGAATCGAGTAAACGACAATGCATACACAGAGATGGGCGGTTTTGCGTATGCGCGATCATCATCGTCATCATCATCATTGTTGTCATAGCTAGCGTTATTCGCGTGTTTGTGTATTCGTCATCTCGTTTGCGCGTTTCACCTGTAAAGTTACCGACAAAATCTGTGTTAAATCGCGCGCACACGGAAAAATGATATTAGCAATAAGACTTATAGTTCTATCGTCGGTTAATGAATGTCGGATATGCCCCGCCGTCCCGGATAGGCCAGCGCTTGTAAAGTGCCGCTATTCGTTCGACGTTGCTCGTTTATGGAGTGCCATAGACGGATAAGGACGCGTGTGTTACTTGTTGTGAATGAGAGAGAGAGAGAGAGAGAGAGAGGGGGTTCTTGTACGCTATTTTGCTACGGTTGAGGTACATGTAATCGGTTGTTCCTCTGAAGAATTGCGTATCACGGACGCTTTAACTGAAACCTGTACGTTACGCGCAAACTATCAGGGATTGATGTACGGGAGAAGTGTGCGGATCAGTTTTAGTCTTTGCGGCAACAAAGACAATCCCTGGCCGCGCAAACCCGGTGCCTTCTCGCGCGTGTAATTTTTCCGTGTGCGAGCGTGCCCAGCGTCGAGCTGTCCTAGCGAGTAAGACTTTTGTACCCGATCCCAAAGATGCTCTGACTATTATGAGCTGATTCCCTTCTTTTTTCAAATAAAAAGCATTATTTGGATGAGCTTCCGGCCCTCTGTTCTTGTTCGTTCATCGGCGTCCCGTCTCACGTCGCCTCCCGCTGCATCCTGAACGGCGAATCTCATTGCAGGCATCAGTTGTCGCACCAGCAGTGCATTCTTTCCAAAAGTATCAAAGTTCACTGCCGATTAATAGAACTAATCGCTAGACGACGCGCTACATTAGACAGTTTACTCACGCATACTGCACGCATTTCTATCGTCGGCCGTCGCGTGCTTCTGGACGGCGCATGTTTAACAGAAAGACACGTACGTACGAACGTCCGGGAAAAAAAGCAAGAAATCGCCTTTGGATTGATCTAAATCCGGCGTAAGGGGAGTTTGCCTTCCGTGACCGGGTGACGGCAGATAACACATTAACATCTTTTTGGTTGGTAAGATTTTTATTTCGTTTTCTTTTACCTAATCGACTCTTCTATCTTTCTCTTAATTTTTTTTTCTTCTTTTTCTTTCTCTCGCGGTAAGTAACAGTGCTGGTCGCGCTGTTTGCGGCGCATATGTCTCACGAGCGACTTCCTTTTCCAGGGCGGCGGCGGGCTGGTGCAACAATTGAGGAAAAGTTACAGCCTCAGTGATCTAACCGGCGAGAAGGAGGACGAAAATAGAAACACACCCGACGCGCGTGACGAGACAGACATGGAAGGTAGCTGATACCCAGCGTTGTTCTAATTAAATGGAGATTTTACAAAGATAAAACCACTCGCTTATCCAGTAATTGGATAAACGGCGACAATTATGTTAATTTTTATACATATTGCGTATCGTATAAATTTCCTATATTTTGAAACATATTTGGTCTTCGCAAACATAACACGCTAACGATTTGCTTAGGCCCGGTTTCACCAAACGTCGCTTAATTTCAATTTTAGTTTAACCCGTGTTTGTCTCTTCCTAAAGTAACAGTTGGAACGAGACAGAGAACGAATTAAGCTAAGCTGAAAGTTAAACAACGCTGGTGAAGCCGGGCCTTAGTGGCGTAATTGTGAAAAATAAATTGATATTTTTGGTCCTTACAGTGGAACCTCGGCGAAGAGAGCACGCCGGCAGAAGAGGCTATAGTCCTCGCAGGACTCAGTCCAGCAGCAACGCGTCGTCTCGAGTAGAGATGTATTTTTCCGAAGTGGATGTCGACGTTCGACAGCCAAGGCCTAGGGAGCCCGTAGCTAGTTTAACGTACGTAGCTCGCGCAGCTTTCGACGACGATCGTCGACATAACAATCGCCAGTAATCACGACTCTTTCCACGTTCG